GCACAATCCTCGTCCAGGACTCCCCCGAGGGCAACGCCAGCCTGGCCCCGGCCACGGGATCCTCCACCACTCCCATGACTTTAAGCATCACCAGTGGAATGCCAACAAACTTCTCCAAGATGCCTCAAAGCACAACCGCTACCTTCAGGAAGGAGGAGGCCACGCCGAGCGCGCGCGTGCCCTCCCGCGCCAGCCGCTGGCAGCTGGGGCTGCTCTGTCTGCCGCTGCTGCACGCCCTGGCCCTGGCCATGGACTGAGGGCCTGCACCCCGTGGGATTGCTGGGGTTATTCCTGTGATCACAGCCGGAGTTAGCACATCCGGCTGAAATAATGAATGGAAGAAATGCAAAGTCCTGACTCTGATCTAAAGAAAGTAACGGTTCTTAAAGACGCGCACACTAATGTCGTGATACTAAGCTGCTACTTATTTTCATATGTCTTAATTGAGTACAACTAATCTATTATTTTGGTTTTTAAAACGTGCTTATTTTGTATTTAAATTTTTCATTTTACTTGCACAGAATAAACACATCAGAATTTTAAGTACTGATTTTACGTATGATTTTGTCATTGAACAACTGGAAAAAAACAGAAGGCCTGTATCATATCTGCATTGTCTTGCTTGACTTGCCAGTGAGCAACTCCTGTAATATAGCAGCACAGATTCTTTGTAAGTTATGATGACATGCAAAAGAAAGGGAAAAAATAAAGGAACTAAACTGAACTGTTTCACTAATCAGAAGTTATTCCTGAGCAAAATCGCTAGCATGTATATCTACATTTGCTTCATATGTACTAGAGTATTTTAAATATGAAGAACAACAGTTTTGAATTTAGGAATTAAATAAGACAATGCCATGATGTCTGCTAAGAGGGTGTAAACTGAGATGGCAACATGGTCCAGCTTCAGCATGGGACAGTGGTAGGGGCCAGCATCCTTCTGCTCTGGCTTGACTTAGACACTGCAGGCAAGTTATTGCTCTCTCCATATTAAAAAAGGGAAAAAAAAGAAGAAAAAAAATATAAAAGTAGAGAAAAATGCCAGATGTTCAATGCCATGACACTGTCAAACACAAAGGAGTTATCTACCCAAATTAATGACCTGGAACTCCTTGACTTTATGTCAAGTGACATCCTGAAATGTTAATATGTTCTGCTTAAAAGAATACCACAAATCAGCCAGAACGCAGCAAACTACTATCAGTAAAATGAAATATCAGCTGATTTCTAACACGAGTCATGTAACAAATCAATTGATCAGTTAGCTGGTAAGCTGTCATTGAAACATTCCTGACTCTTGTGACTCCAAAGAGAATGAACCCAGTCCATGGCACTGAACATGCCCAATCCCTGCTTTCCAAGGGCGAGCATGGATGCTCTTCTCCTCCACATCTGCACCGTCAGCCAGTAGAAATAGCTGCACGCATGGTTCTGTCCACTCTAGGAAAATTATTTAAATTATGGCAAAGGTACCTGATATACTACAGATGAAGTTTTGCAAACAGCATGAAATGAAAACTGAAGAACAAGTTAATTGAAAAAGTATTATCCACTTAATATTACAGATCTTATACAATGTTTTCCATTCATTCCAGGCCATTTTATTTCCAGTTATTGTAGCATGAAGGTGCTGCAAAACCCAGAAAACCTCACAACCAAGACTGGAGTCCTCTACCTGTTTCTCCTAAGGTGTCAATGGGGGCTGTAGATCATTTACAACTACTGGTATCACAGAAATGACAACTTTCCAATTGTGAACAGTATTTCTATAACCGGAAACGTGTTTTAATTTCTAACAGTAAATGTTACACAATGGATTTGTACAGTTATTTCATTGGCATTTAAGTAAAAATAAAGTTATGTTTGTATTGAACTGAACTAGTGACTGTGCCTCTTTTCTAATAAGCAGAGTAAAACTAATAAATAGATAGCATTGTATTATACAAACCTGTTTAAAGCAGACATTTGGCTCCATTGTCGTGTCTTATGGGGGGAAATGATGGTTATACTAAATTGCATTATTTAGATACTGATGTATCTCTAATATTGTTTAGCAATAAGCTGATGAGATGACACAATACTGTGACCATCCTTCCCCTTCCTGTTCTTTAGAACCCAGAAACACCAAAGAAGTCCCTGCTGCCACTCTCCAGGACACTCCCTGGGTTTGCTAAGTGCTGACTGACTGTAGCACAACCTATTTCCCATGCTCAGAACTCAGCAATTCCCAGAACTGCAGCATTCTCATGGCCTCATCCCACACACTGGGAGCAGCTGGGCTTCCAAGGAAGGACTCATCACTAAATGAGGTGCTGTGGCTAAACTGCTTGATTTGAGGAAATTACAGGAAATACTGCATGTGTCTTTGCTGCAGAATCAGTACAGGATGCCAAATTCTGTTGCATTAGAAAAACCTACAGGGAATTGACTTTAAAGGCTCTGAGAATGTCTCATTATGGGTGAAACAATCTGATGACCAGCAACAGGAAAACACTGCTTTTCCAGAGGTAATCTGGGGCAACTGCAATAGCACCCTGAAGGACTTGCTATCCAGCCTTCAAACTCCTCAGCGTGCTAAGAAAAGCCTGGGAGTGGAAATGGGGCTCTGGGGCTCCCCAAAAGCACAGGCAGGATGGGGGAGCTGCACCCCAGACCCACAGCTGGGTGTGAAGTGAGCTGGACCAGGGACTCCAGGGCTCTGCTGCCTCCCAAACCCTGCCTGCTCAGACTGCTTTCAGAAAGGCAGACTGGAAGTGAGGCTTGCTGCTATTTTTCTGGAATACGAATGAGCCGATAAGGCAGCAGGAGGAGGCAGAAGTGTGGGAGTCCAGCACTTGTTGCTGGGCAACTGCGCAGCCGCTCCGAGCTGAGCCCAGGGCCGGGGTTTGTAAACACGCTGTGCACCCAGACCTCCAGAAACACAAAATATTCTATTCTCGGTGAAATTGGTATCCAAAACAACTAATCAGCATTTCAGGGCAATATTCAAAATGCCCAGAAAAGCTCTGGCACACCTCTAATAGCTGTGTACTTGCTCTGGAAAGGGTGAAATTGCTGTGGGGATTGCTGCGGTCTGCTGCAATAACTCAGAGGTTTTATTCCTATTAATTAGTTTGGGATCAGCCTTAAAACCTAATGGCAGTAGTTCAGGATCAATATTCATTGATTTATGGATCATTTTGTAACTGGATAGAGATTAAAAACAGAAGAGCACTGGCTCCAGAAGCTGGGTTGTTGCCCAGGAAACAAAATGTGAAGATAGATGACAGAAGGAATTAAATTTCACAGCACAAGAAGGACATAAACTGATCCAGATACATCAGTAAAATGACTCAACAATGCCTTAGCAACAAGATCTTCAACTATAAAAAAAAAGAAAAAAAAGGGGGAAAAAAACCAACCCTAAAAAACCTCAGCTTGCCACAAGCCCTCAAACAGCCTGGCAGCTCCAATCTAAACAATTCTTCCACATTTCACACCTTGAAAACACATCTGGCTCAGAACCAGAAGAAAAACACCCCAAATAAGCTCCATTTAGCCACATCCCTGGGAGAAGAGATGATGCCAGAGCATCCTCCCAGAGCAAAGCCCTTCCTGCTGGTCTGAAAGGCAGCTCTGCCAGGAGTCCTGAACTGTGCAGCTGCTGAAGACAAAGGTAATAACTCACCTAGCAGCAAGGCTCATGCTGCAGTACAACAATATTTCCATTAATATTCCATACCTGGATAAAATGTTCAGAAATCTGCTCCTGCCCACCCTCTCTGAAGGCAGGAATGCTTGGCTGACTGGACTATGACAGTTTTGCCCAGTGAGGCATCTTTGGATTAATTAATTTTTCTGCTTTTAAACAAGAGGTAGGTGAGCTAGGCCTAGCAAACATGTGGTACAAAATTTTGTCTTGATTTACTTCCAGAAATTCTTTCTCTGCAGATTTCTTGCTCTGCAAACAAGGAAACACTGCATGTCAGGTCTGCACAGAATACACAAAGATGCCTCGGATCACTGCCAGGCACAGTCACTTTTTAAGATGGGTTATCACTACTCTCTGCATTTGTATGCCTAATTTCTTGTCTGAACAAGGCAGGATAACAATGCAGGCATTTAGTTTGACTTGACATGAAATAAGACTGTGTCTAATGGAACAAAATGGAGAAGAAAAATGTGGCAAGCAAACAGAGTATTTTAAAGAGAATTCAAAAGACTGCCTTTGATTCTAACTCTGTGCATGTAAGGGGATTAAACATTAGGGATCTTGCTTAAATAAATAAATAAATAAAGGGGGGGAAAAAGGCATCTAGGCTGCCCTCGAGCCAGCCCCTTCTGTCAGCACACCTGAAGGTTTCATGGACTGTTGTGTGGCTTTTGAAGACAGAAAATCAAGACAGAAGGTAAGTGATGCTCCTCATCTTGTGTTCTTTCACTCCATCCAAAGGATCACCACTGATGAGATCCTCTCATGACAACACTGGAAGTGCCCCCAGTGCCACTGCCACCACGGGCAGCACAAACCACAGAGCAAGCCCAGCACGCCCAGGCAGGGCTCTGCTCCCAGGGGCACAGAATGCACCAGCAAGGACCAACCATCAACACCCCAGGGCTGTGCCAGCACCCCAAAGTGCCTGGTGATGCCAGGACCGGAGAAATCCCAGCCCTGGCAGCACTGCACGGCCCCCCAGGCCAAACCAGCCTCACCAGCAGCACCTCAGCAGAGAGAGCAGCTTCAGCAGCTCATCCAATCCTCTGTGCCTCTGACCACACCTGGGGGTGAGCACAGGGATCTCCCTTTTCTTAACACCTCCAGGAATGACTCCTGTCGTGAGTGTAATTACTTTGAAATGACAATCTTGGTTTAGGAAACAAGTCAAAACCACTGTCAGCAAATATTAACCAATAAGCTATTTTCAGACTCTTGTTTGTTACCAAGCTGCTGTCTCTCACATACAATTGACACCTTTGACTGACAGGTTCATTTCAGACTGGGAAGGTGAAAGGTTTCTTACCGCCGAGCGATGTAGTAGAAAACAGGATTGCCAACTTTGGATGTCCCAGCTTGGTAGAAAATATTTAATGTTTTCAGTGCTTTGAACTCCTCTTTCTCATGCACCTGATGCCTAAAAAGCAATACATTGACATCAACTTTCACAACGGCCTTTCAAACAAATTTTAAAAATCCCAAACCTCCTTTACTTTCATCTCTGAACAAAAGTATGAAGTTTACAATCTTGAGCCTTCCTTAAATCACATATGTTACCACCATTTCTCACACTCAGTTTAGTTTTTTTCATTAAAATCTACTCAGAAACCCAGAAAGTTTGTGTAGACTCAGCTTCTCAAACTCTCCTTTAAAACAGAGAGTCTTGATAGCAGAGTCTTAAGAACTACTGACATATCCTCATATGATAAAGTCTAGAAACCCACATTGCGTGTCCCTACCACAATCATCTCATTACCTTGTCATAAACTCTTCAAACTTGGAACTAGTGAGATTTAAGCTGGACCAATGTGTATCTGCCACAGGTTTGTGCTCAGGAGGCCCCAGGTAGGCAAGAAGCGTTGCCATCTTGTCGAAAGGTCGTCGTCCAACAGCCTTGTGGTCCCTACAAACAACATGTTCTTTGTCAGGAAACTCCTTCTTCACTCAGCAACTCCCACTGCCCTTCCTCAACTGGAACAGGCTGGATTTTCTTTTTAAAAGTAATTATGAGAAATCTTCAATGATGACTGATATTCTTCTCAGTAATAACAGAAGCAACAGAAGAGAGTATTTCCAAATATTAACAGTTTTTAGCTGAAGGAGGGGAGATTTAGATTGGATATTAGGAAGAACTCCTTCCCTGTGAGGGTAGGGAGGCTGCTGGCACAGGTTCCCAGAGAAGCTGTGACTGCCCCACCCCTGGAAGTGTCCCAGGGCAGGCTGGACAGGGCATGGATCAGTCTGGGATAGTGGAAGGCGTCCCTGCCCATGGCAGGGCTGGCATGGGACGAGCTTTATGGCTCCTTCCAACACAAGCCACCCCAGGGCTCTGACAGCTGTCCCCTCAGCCAGGGCTGCAGGCTCACCTGTTGCTGGACAGGTACTGGCCGATTTTCTCCTGGTTGTTCCAGAGCAGGCGGTGCAGCGCCAGCACGTTGCCGTCGCTGATGAAGGACAGGCTGTGGTTGACGGTGTCGCTGGCCGGGCAGTCGGACGCGATGTCGAGGAAAAACCTGCAATGCACAGCCAGGAGCACACATCAGCGTGGCAGGGACAGCGCAGGGCCGTGCTGCAGGGCACACGCAGCCCTCCCTGCACACGCAGCCCTCCCTGCACACGGCAGGACACGTGTGCTGGCCCCGGGCCCCACCTTCGCGCCGCGTCAAAATTGCTCTTCACAAAGTCATTGAAAGGCCGCATGTGCTCCTCTTTGGTAAACAGCACGTGGTTGGCAATACTCTGAAGGATCTACAGGGAAAAACATGGCAGAGACACACAGAGGTTTAATGTATTAACTGCTACAGTAATTGACGCAAACATTTCTGCCAGTGAAGTTAAACTGGCAGAAACCATTTACTTTCACTTGTTGTCTTGAGGTTTCACAACAAAAAGCCAGTAAGTCAAGTAGCTTAAAATACACTCACTTCCAAAGTCTTTCCTTTCTCATAATTTTAAATACTAAAAACCCATTCACTTTTTTATGAACTTTAAACTAGGAAAAGAAATCATCTTTCAAACCGCAAGTTATTCAGTATTTCTCCTGGAACTTAAGACAGGTAAGTAAAAGCAGCAGCACACCCCCATCTAAAGAAAAATACAATTTCCCAACATTTACAATGGATAATATACACAGGCCACAGAATCTGTGGCCTCATTAAACTTTTTAAATTTTTTTTACAAGAAATATGACCAAATAAGATTGAAGACAGGAAAAATCCCTTTTTTAGCAGTGGGATGAACCTGATAAATGCTGGCTGCTGCTACCCTCATTGTGCTCACAGGAACATTGGTCTCTGTTAGTTTCCAAATGAGAAGCTCAAGTGAAGGGCTGTAATTCCACTCTCTTATCCATCCTTTTGGCAAAGTGTTCCTGCCCATCCTTACACTGCTGAGAGCTCAAACAATGCCATGATGCACAAACACAGCACAGACACGGCACTCTCAATAAACGTGACGGCTGCCACAAAAACCTCCACATTCCCCCATTTTCTCAGCGCTCAAGGAGCGGTACCGGAGCAGGCAGAGCACAAACGCGGGGCAGGGAGGCACGCGTGTGGATTCACCTTTGACATGAGCTTGAGGCCGCGCTCGATGCGGGGCGGCGGTTTCTTGTCCAGGATGCCCGCCTCGTACGGGGACACGATGGCGGGGTTGATGAAGCGCAGGAACATGGCGCTGCCCACGGCCCCGATGCTGTTCTGGGGGAAGCGCTGGCTCACCACCTGGGCACGGACAACGACACACGACAGGCTGCGTTAGCAGCGGCCAGGGCTGCCCAAAGCCTTGCGTGGCAAGCCAAGCCAAAGCGCTCTCTCCACACCACCATGCGCAGCACAGTGCAGCGGGGCTCTCTTGCATCCCGGAGAACCAGAACAAGGGGGAAAGCAGTGGGGCTCTCACACAGCAGCTGCCTGCTGCTCGGCTCCCTTGGCAGGGACACTGCCCCCAGAGCTCCTGCCAGGTCTCAGAGCTGAGCCCACACAGGCCTTGCCCCTGGAGGGACCCCGAAGGTGCCTCAGGTGTGCACTGCCCTCCCCAGCACAGGGAACACCTTGCACCTACTGGGTCTTTGATCTGTGTGTTTGTAACTGCACAGCTGAGCCACGAGCCTCTCCAGCAATAACACTGTGCTTTACAGCTTCAGGAGCAATCTTCCATTTGTGAGGAGGAGCTATTTGCAGCAATACCCTTCAAAACCATTACCTGTCCACAACAGGACAGAAGGAGCCAGAGATGAGTGGCCAGGGCACTCCTCTGCCTACACATACACTGTATAAAACCACTGAGCAGATTTAAAATATTGTCCTTTGCCATCCAGGAAAAAAATAATTCTGAAGAAATCTCTTTTCTTTTAGGAAATCAAATATGCATTACTAAGAGGAGAGTTGCTCTTTGGACGTCTGTGATTTAACTTTGAAAAGTTAAAGACAAAGCTTCCTGACAAAAATAAAGTTCTTAGATATTCAACATGTGGATATACTGTAATGAGTAACAATGGTTAATCAAAAGGAGTCAGATTCTTCCTTTCCACAAAATAAAATTAGTAAACTTGATATTATCCTGTTTAAAATAACCTCAAAGCAAGTCCCAGTTTAGTAAAATACTTCAAAACATAACTAATGCAATCTCAGATCACGCTGCTGAAACCAGACAAAGCCATTAGTACAAAGTACACCAAGAATCACTTTGGTTCATTAGCAACTCCAGTCAGTTACCTTGTGATGCAATTACTGGTATTTCCTTGTAAAATACTGGTTTGCCCACAACTTTTACATTTTAAATGTGGTTACTATTCTGCTCAGTTACAGCAAAAATAACAGTACTTTATAAAAGTCTAGATTTCCATTCTGGTTGATTCATACTTTATATTTTGAGGTCACTGCCAAAGAAAAGAGTAAGTCTGAATTTTTAAAGACAATGCTCTAAAGCAACCCACAGATCTAAACCCTAACACAGCAAGTTACTTAAAATGGAAAATCTGCTTTTCTCAGGAAATAATACAAGTGCTAAAGTTGGGGTTTCTCACTTAATCACAAAGCAAACAGAAGAAAATGTGTCAGAAACAAGTCCCACGAGCCTCTTTCGAGTACCCCACAAATATTAATTGTTCTTTGCCCAGGATGCAAGCTCAGGTTATCTGCCAGAGTGTTAAAGCAGCTCAACAGACCCAGATTTTCTCAAAACCAAAGGAAACACTTTTCTTCCACAATTTTTTAATTTGAAGATGGTGGCAAGGCTAGAAGAGTCAGAATATTAAAAACTAAGCAGTAATGTTAAAAATGTCTCATTTACTCAAATAGGCACACAGAGAATATTTTAAATCTAACTTAATTCCAGTGTTAATTGAAATGAAAGCTATTTTGTGCCAGAATTAGTAGAATGATTTTACAGTGAGGTCAAATAGACTGAAGTGAAGATATTTTGAACAAACAGCAAAAGATTTCTGTTGTGCTTTGAAAGAAATGGCTAATAAAAAGGTCTCCAAACTTACTGATTTTTTGTTTTCCTTTTTTTCTTTTACGGTAGCTTTATTCAGTAGAGAGTGGCAAGTTGCCTACAGAACAGAGATGAGCACAAACAAGTCACAGCACCAACTACATACAGCAACAAAAAACCAATGTTGACTTGTACATAAATTACACAGTAAAATGTAACAAACATAACCAACAGAAAATGAAATATATAAACTAAAGACTGATGATGAAGTTTTTATTCCACAGTTTTATTACATCTTATTTACAAAGCACTAAATACAAAACAAGCAAATGTTGAATTTCAATCATTTCTACTATTTCTGGCTAGATTAAAAGTCAAACCACATCAGTGTGCTCATGATACACAATCTTGGGCCTTAAATGGTGTATTCAGCTTTCAAATGTATTTTACCATCCCCAAATAATTTTAACAGTACAAATAGTAGTGTTATACCTTTGAAACACATATTGCTTTTTAAGTTAAATTTAGAGTTTGAAATCTTCCCAATGTTTCTCTGTGTGTCCTTCAATTTGGTTAGACCTGTGAACCACCAGGGCTATTCCCACTGTCAGAGGTAACTGCCATAAAACACTCTGTGGACAAAGGAAGAAGGAAGCTACAGTCTACAGTTAATTTATTAAAGATTTCCAAGTCAAGAGATCTGACTTGATTGTGCTTATTTCTGCATTTCACTGAGATGCAAAGGGACCCCCCAAGAAGACCCCAATTCTGTTTTCCTTCCAGCAGCACCTGAGCAAAGCCCCAGCCCCTCGTGCTCCCCAGCCAGAGGTGCAGCACCACTCCGGGAGCTGGGAAGGGCTGGGCACCCCTGGGAAGCTCCAGCAGCAGCCAGGGCTGGGTCCCAGGCAGCCTGCAGCACTCAGCACCTCCAGAGGGCCACCCTGGCACTGGCAGAGAGCTTCCACACCTCCAGCATGGAACAGAATGAAAAGGAAACAGCCCAACAACCCAAAGCAGCCAGTTAAACCCTCTGCTAAGCAAGCTGAACAGAAACCTGTGCAGGACCTATAAATAATTCACCAGTGGCACCTCTGCCAACTTTCCCTGTGGCATTTCCATGAGTGGCTTCTGGAGCAGTGGTACACACACTCTACTCACTGGGATGCTGCAGCTAGAGGAAAACTTCCACCTTGCTTTCCCAAGAAAAACGTGTGTTTGTGGGGCTTTGATGGAAGAGGCAGCAGGCACAGATCCTCTGCAGGAGGTGCTGTGAGCATGCTTGCTCTCACATCACACTCCTGAACATACATTACCTGTGAGGAGCCAGGTGGATCTGTCCCAGTAGCCAGTTACTGATGTTTCCAAAGGAAAACACTCACTGGGCTCTGCTCCCAAACAGAAACACCAGCCAGCAAAGACACCAATATCCAGCTAAAGACACCCTTTCTGAGGTTGCTACAGTGATTAAAACTAGCTGCTAATCATTTACAGAACACATCTGGTGAGCATTCTTTGCACACAGTTACTTTAAAACTCTAAGCACGAAAAAACCACCATAAATTTGGTATCATTTACCCTCACACTAGTGCTTGGGATGGAACATGTTCACCTTTTTAAAAGGGAAGTTATCTTATAAAAATCTCCTATTTCTTACAATAAAAATGGATTAATGCCTCCAAACCCCCAAATCAGATCTTGGTTGTACTTTCTTTCAGATAAAGGCCAGACTCTTCAGAACTCTCTGAAATTTTAAGTACAGAACGTTCATCACAAATAGTGTTAGTCAAACACTTGTAAAGAAATCTAGCTGTTACTAGGAACACTTTAAGTAGTAAATATTGAAGCTAAGTATCAGTTAATACCACTTGCATATCTGCCAGTAAATAATCTCCTCTGGGAACAAATGACCCTTATTAGCACAGACAGTAAAGGCAAGAATAAAGCCAACACACTTGGAAAGGCTTCCACAGAAGAATCTCTGGAAATGCCTGCTGGTGAGCACATTTTAAAAATTCTGTTTCATAAAGGAATTACCAATGGTTTGCACACAAGTAATTGCTACCAATGGACCAGTGAAATGGCAATAATCTGACACATCCTGGCAACAGCACACAAACCCAGTTCTGGGATGAGGTGTGGGAGAATGCAACATCCAATAACAGAAGGAACAAGCAAGGCTGTGTGTGGTATTTTCAGTAACACTCAAATATTCTTCTAGTTGATGTCTCTGACACTGTGGCCATGAAGGAGACCAATCTGCCCACTTCACTTCCTGATTACAAAACCCAAACACATCAAAAAACCCCAAAGTCACTCTGCCACCGACCCAAACACAGCCACTGTCAGGAGAGAAACCAAAAGCCTTCAAAGCTTTCACAGAGCTGTGAGGCAGGAACAAGGCTCAGCATCTGCACACCTGCTTCAGTGCAAGGGCTCACAGGAACAACCCCAGACCACAACAGCCCCAACACACATTCCCTGTTCTCACTCCCAAGCTCTGGGGATTGCAGCAGTTGCCCTGATCACCCCAGCATTCCCTGTGCAAATGTGACAGGGTCTTTGTTACTCATCATGAGTTCACACAGGTCACAAAATCCATTTGCTTGGCTTTGCTTTAGACCTGAATACAGACTATGGCTGAAAGGGCAGAAGTAGCTCTTCCAGAGCACCTCACTGAGACCACAGCTCCAATATTCCACCAGGCACAGTATTTCTTTGACAGTCCTCCAAGTGGACTGGAAATTGCATTCCCAGTGAGCCCCAAGGGAACTCCTACTCAGATTTTTAGCAGCAGCTGAATCCATCAGAAACACACAAGGACATCCAGCAGGACACTGGGCTCAGCAGCCACAGGACAGAGCAGAGGAGCTGGGGATGGAGGTCAGGGAACTTGGGTACCTTCAGTCACCTCCTGATTGCAAACACAAGCCTTAAAACAGCACTTAGCCCCAACGTTCAGAGTGGTGTTACTTATCAAATATCTGAGAAGAGCCTTTAGAGATGCCCCCTGTGTGTAGCACCAAGCTCCAAACTGCTGGAATTTCACAAACCAAGCCCAAAGCTCAGGGCAGGCGACCACTGCAGGCATACCTGGTACAAACAATGGCACACACTGCGCAGCTGGGGTGGGAACTCCGAGGAGGAATTAATGATTGCCTGAAAAAACTTGTCTGTCATTTGCAAGAGACTCCGCTGGTTCTCTTCAAGGCTTTCTGTGGGCTCCAGCCTGAAACAGACCCACACATGTATGACCAGCAATCAAACACAACACAAGTGCACTTACATCCTTGGTAAGAACCTCATTTCCCCTTTTTCTTATGGAAACACAAAAGTTTCCATCATTTTTTTTAGCCACATAAGGTACAAATAAAAGGCCATGTAAAACTCAGTAATGAACAGAGAGCTGTAGGTGGGATTCTCTCAGACCATTTCATACAAACACATGCATACACAATTCCAACTGATAATTGCACTATCAGTTCATGATGGTTTATCTGAAAGGAATTTTGAGGCAGACACAGTTGATGGTTAAAGCATTCATTAGAAGGTCTATCTTTGGATTAGCTACTTAAGAGATGAATACTTTTGATTTTTCTAAGAGTTAGAAATATTTTAAAGCAACAGAGCAAGAGGGCTGCAGAGAGACTATTAATGTGTCTGGAAAAGTGAGAGGTACAGCAGTATGAAAGCATGAGAAAAATATCTGCAACAAGGAAAAAGGAATCCTATTAGAGACAATGAGTGGGAATCATGTTTACAAATAAATGCATTTGCTGCTCGCCCTGAATCTCAAACCTTGTTGGATCCACCTCAAAGCTGACGTGCTGCCAGTCAGGGGATGTGATCACAGTCCGCAGCAAAGGCTCCAACAGCTTCTGCAGATATGTAGCACCATAGACCTGTGTGCAGGGGAAACAAGGACAGAGCTCAGACTGACACAGGAATGCTGCAAAGTTCTGGAAGCTTTCAACAGCCTGAAAACACTTGGTCTGTTTTGGCATAAGCCAAATTCCTGCAAAACTTGGGTTTGTATATTATAGTCTCACCTCTGGAACACAACCAAGATCAATTTCCACAGGTATTTTAATTAATTTCCAATTAGAGAAAAATAACAACCATGCTAAGCAGCAGATGTTCTTTCTTAGAGCACTGACTCCACACTTCACCTCTGTTTGTACACAACTTTTTAAACTGAAATGGGAGCACAAACAAGACCTCAGAATTTACCAGGAACAGTCCTCCAGCGGGCGCGGGCCCAGAATAACTCATACAATTGAACTAGTCAGAAAGGTTAAAGTTTAGTGCCAATGGGATACCTACTTTTTAATGGCCTGAGCATAAGTGTTCTACAAGATTCAGTTCATGAAATGTTAAAACACAAAAAGAAAACTCCCTAAACTTAACAGATGTGAGAGCTGAGACTAACTCAAACTGAGGTCCAAAGGCAACTCTGTACAGCTGTTACCTAACCCCATTACTCAAGTGCTTAACCCCACAAGCAGCTTTGTATTTTCATATTACTAAGCTTTTCCTGCTATTGAAGAGATCCGTACCAGAGGCAAAAAAAAAGAGATTATATACCTTAAAACAGAAAGTCATTATTTTACTGGCTAAACTGTTTCCTCTGAAGAGTGTCTGCATGGAGTCTGCCAACTCGACCTCCTTTGAGAACATATTCCAGAGGAGCTGGTAGAGCAGGTGCCGGGAATCAAAGAGTGTGACCAGGACACGAGCCAGCTCATCCTTAAAGGGAGGAGGAAGAGTTAATCTGACTCGCAGGGAGCCAAGGCAAGTATGAAACCCCAGTACTGTGACAAAACCACCGAGCAGCTTGCAATAAAGCTTTATGTCTGCCATGGGCTCTGGCAGGTAAATATCAAATTACACAAAAACCATCTCTCTGCAAACGTTTCCTATGCTACTGCTTGTCTAAAAACCTGCCTTAGGATATCCAGTCTTCCAAGCTCATAATGGTTATCCAGACAGACAGTTACTCTGTGTATAACAAAGCTCAACTCATCTTGCTAAAACCTAGAAGGGCAAATACAATTCTGTGTGTCTGCACCACAGCACACAGCACCTGTAATAAATAACCAGCCCAGTTGCATTTATCATAATAACTGTATATAAAATCGTTCCTAGACATTAACTAAAATGCAGTTTATCACCAAGGTCTGAACTTAGATTCCGTACATTTTTAAGAACATTCAAAGAAAGGCTAGCTATTGTCAGTGGCAGCTCTATTCTCTCTGTACCAGATGTGCTGTTGCACATTTTATTTCAAGTCTTACAATTTAAAAAAAATGTAGGAAATAAAATCAACTTACCCACTGAGAACAAGGCACCACATTGGCTAAAGCCATAGCAATAGGAAGCTCCCCCTGATCACCCATCATTGTAACCAGCTCCACCAATCTCTCAAAGCGATCTGCCAGCACCGTTTCTGCCAAGGTGTCGAACTCTGTCCCCTGCTGCAGGATTTTGGTGAGGACTTCCATGAACGTGGCTCTGGTCTGGAGGTCCTTATGGTAGCCGAGGCCTGCCGGAGAGAAGGCAGCGGCAGTCAGGGGCTGCAGAACAGGGGCAGGCCCGGGCGGGGCGGGCAGGGCGTTACCTATGGAGTGCATGAGGCCGCTGTCCACGTTGGCGTTGAGCAGGTTGGACATGGCCAGCACGGTGCAGTGCCGCAGCGACGCCAGCCGGCGCGACATGCCGCGCTTGCGCCCGCCCGCCGCCGCGCCGTCCTCCTCCGCCTCGCTGCAGTCGTTCAGCAGGTTCATGAAGAGCGTGAAGTACCTGGGACAGGGACAGGCCCTCCGGTCACACGTGCCCTGACACGGCAGCCAACGCACAACAACCTCACCCATGGCAGCCAACGCACAACAACCTCACCCGTGGGAGCCAACGCACAACAACCCTCCAAAACCTCACCCACGGGAGCCAACGCACAACAACCTCACCCATGAGAGCCAACACACAACAACCCTCCAAAACCTCACCCACGGGAGCCAACACATAACAACCCCCTGAAAGCTCACCCATGGCATCACTCTACAGCAGTGCACTGCATGCTACACAACCTCCACAATTACTGAAGCTGTCAGAACCATAAGGAGGATCAGAAAATCAGCTGCTGCTTCTCCATGGACACAAGCAGAAAAGACACAAACTAGAAGGCTCCAACTCACTTCTTAAACATAATGCCTGTGTACAGGAAGGTCAAGAGGGCTCCTTACCTAACCAGATTCAGCATCATTGTCTCAATGCTTGCTTGTCCAAGGTGTTCTGAGCTCCCTTCTGTGTGATTGTCAAGCAAATTCTTCATTATAGCAATGGTTTGCTCTACAAATTGTGTGTTGGTGTCAGTTAACAAGACCTACAGGATGACAATTTCTGGTTAATTTTTTACACATAAAACCAAAGAAAGAGTATTTGCCAAACATACTGCAACATTTCAAAAATCTCACGGACAAGCATTTTTCCAGTTACCACCAAGCCAACAGAACTCCAATACATGTCACAATTCAATATGTGAACACTGCCAGCCATAAAGATTCCACAAACAATAATTTTCACAGATTCTGCACTCAAGAGTTCACTACTCAAGAATGTTAAATACAGCCTGGAATCACAACCACAACAATCATTAACATGTGCTGTGATGATCACTCTGCTCACAGGGGGTGTGCACAGAACACAAACAGGGATCCATTTCAGTCACCCGGCGGATAGACAGGACTGACACAAACGTAAATAATATCACACAACTGTGACTCACCTGTCCTTGAGAATCAAAGAACTTGCTGATGGTATTCTTCAGCTTGTTGAAGAGCATAGGATAAAGGGCTGGGCTGAGCTCCAGCCCCACCAGGTCTTTGATGTTGGTGCGGATCTGCAGCCCCACCTTCTCGTGGTTGCAGACCATCAGGGTGAGCAGGCGGTCGATGAATTTGCTGACCGGGGTCTCCACGCTGCCCTCGGTGGAGACCATGGAGATCATGGAGCCCTTGCGCTCGTTGAGGGGGCCCATGGGGGGGCTGTAGGTGGCCAGCCCCGCGCTGCTGCGGTGCTGCAGGCACACCCCGCCCAGGGCACACAGGAACCCTGTCATGTTGATCCACTCCTGCAGCGACTCCGTGTCTGACAGGTCGATGGAGCCGCCGCCGCTGACGTGCGACATGCGCCGCTTCACGATCGTCTTGTGCAGGCTCTCGGTCACCTGCGAGACAACGGTCCTTGGCTGAGTGAAAACTCAAACGCCTTAAAATATGTAACCTTAAAGACTTGTTTTGAATTTCTAAATGTTGAACCAATGGAAAAATTCATAGTCACCTGCCCATCTTCCATTTTGGTCTTTGGATAGTTAAGGATCAGTTTTGTAGCTTGTTCCCATTTTGCATGTGTATCCTCCCAGGCCTGAAAGAAGATAAGACATATCAAGATTTAACTTCAAAACTTCTTGGAGCAACAGTATTTCTGTGTTTGTTTTTTTATATGCACACAGAGCATATGAAGTGAGAAGTTAGTTCACCTCTGTGTTGCCTGCAGTGGGGTGCTCAATGCGCCTCAATAAAGCCATCACTCTCTTCTGAAGAGCTGCTCTCCCTGCAAAGGGCACAGAACATTGAACTAAGCTTTTGAAAATCCACCTACATCAAATTTGTGATCTTTGAAAGTAATTACTGAATTAAGAGGAACATATCCCCTTAAAGTCTTCAGAAAGGCAGCTTCTTGTTACACGATTGTAAAATCCTCCTGAGCTCAGTCACCCAAATTCCTTACACTTTCTAGCAATTCTAATAACTAAGACATTCCAGGAAAAGCCAGAGCAGCATGAAATCAAGAGCCTCAATCTTTTTCAAGAACTCAAACACAAGTAACAGTCTTCTGCCCAGGTACAAAGTTACTTTAACTGACTCACGACTCTTACCTGTTGACATCATGTTGCTCACAGATGCAAACTCCATGAAAGTGTTGTAGTTTGGCAAAAAATTATGCACTGAGACCTCATCTACTCCACACCTGATGTCGGCCTCCTCACAGAGGTGACGGAAGCAGGACATGGCCACCAGGACTGCCTCGATATCTGGGCTCCACAGGAACATGTACAAGGCCACTTCCAGCTTGGTCTGGGCTTGGCGGCAGATGGGGGTTCCGCTGCATCCTGCAGTGCTCTCCTGGGAAATACACAATTCCCAGCTGGGGAACTCTGCTTGTGCAAATTCAGCCCTGGCCAAACGGGGCTTGAAACTGCTTTTGTTCTAGTAGGAATAAGCTATCCTATAAAGGATCAGAGTTCATATATGCTGTCACAGTGCTGTTTGCAATTGTAATCAAAAAATATCCACCAACATTTTAACAGAAAAAATGTTACTTTGTAAAGTCCGAAACATCACTGTTAACCAGCACATTAAATACATATATTATTTAGGATACATACGTCTTTTTCTCCTCAGAAAGAATTTATTTTATTTTCAAAATTACTCTAAAAGTAATTTAATTTCTACTTGTCCACAGGTTTTTTATCCAGTGTTAAATTAACCATCCACATGTATTACTTACTATGGATGAATTCCCCTTTGCTTTCCTCAGGGTAGCCCCTGGTGCACAGCGCATCATTTCCTCATGGTCAAGAGAAATTTGACTAGTTCCACTTCCAGAGACATCATAAAGGAAAAGGAAGTGGCAGGAACTCCTATCTGATTGCTATAAAGAGAGGGGAGGAAAAGAATATATCAATTGATACTTTAAAGAGTAAAAGGCACAGATCTGAGGAAGGTAAAAGCCCTTGGACATTTACACAGTACTTTCTCCTCTGCTGCACTCAGGGTGTTATCAAGTTCCTCATGTTAATGGTATCCTAGACTGATATTTCCCCCTAAGAAATACATTATTTGATACTTTACGAATATCAGAAAGAAGCAAGTCAGAATTCTGGGACTCAGAAGAACCTGAGATCCAAAAGGAAACTTTCTTCATCCATAAGCATGTGTATTTTACCATTAACTACCTTCCCTTTCTCTCACCTTGGGGACTATTTCCCTGTATTAGGCAAAGAAGCACAAGGCACTGTTTGTGTGAAACACTGCTTTTCCAGGCAAGTACAGCAACCTGTGCAGCTAAAGGGGAAAAAAAATCCCAAACAGAACTTTGGTTACCAATTCTAACCAAGGTGCCTCAGAGAGAGGAAATCAGAGAACAGAACATGTAGGAGTAGCTATTAAATCTCTTCCAATAAAAAATAACCTGGTAAATAAAGGAAATGACACCAACAGAGAACAATTCATGTTAATGATCCTAACAGGGAGATGGTAATATTCACTTACTTTGTTTTTTAGCAGAAATTTATTCCTACAGATGAGAATCTCTCGCAGCCACTTGAGGATTTCTGTACTGCTAAGCATCTGATGACTTGTAAGCTTCTTGCAGATATAAAAAAGCATTTGTGAACTGCAGCAAAATGAAATTCAGCATCAGCCTTCTGACGGAACACCAAACCTTCTGAAGGTATTACACTATGTTTCACATAGAAATAGGCACTTAGCATGAACACCCTGTGCAAACACTACCCTGGGCTTCCAGCAGTACAACAGAGAGGTGAGAGTGTGCATGGACAGGCCAAGCTCCCCTGGGACCCTTCCCAGCCCCGCGGCCCGGAGCAGCTGAAGCCCCGCGGGCAGCCTGGCCTGGAGCCCCAGCTCTGCCCGGGACAGAGACAGCACAGACAGGGCAGCACGAGTTACCTACACTGCTCTGACAACGTGTCAACTCTGCTCTGGAAGGAACACATCTAGGGATGTTCCTTCTTCATATCCCGTCAGGCCTCACACTCTCTGTTAAAACTGCCAAAGGGTCCAAATTAGTGTCAAGTGTGATGGGTTTTTCCCCCCAAAGAGACCATGAACTCCCTGTTGTTGCAAAGCTTTCCCAAAATACTCACAGCTATTTCAAAAGAGAAGACAAATCAAACCAGCTATTTCTGTCATTTATCTAAGTTAATTTACATACCTGATCTCCCAGAATGTTTCTATAGGAGCATCAGGATTCCACAAGTCAATGCTGTCCAACTGGTGCAGAACCAGCAAGGCCTAAAGCCAAAGAGAGTTTCACTTAAAGACAAAACTTTACAGAGTACCTGAGCACAGGCAGAGAAACAGGTGCAGTCACATATTCATTAACTGCTTTAAGAACAACATAAGATATAAAAAGCATTTTCTACAGAAGACCAAGAGTTCATTGTCAGTCGGTGTCAACAGCATTTCTTTTTAGTCTTTACTCCACACTCATACTGCAGACCCGAGGCTTCCCCTGGTGTTTCTGTCCAAAGCCATGCTGCACACAGACACACAGACCCTGTTTTTGCAGTGCCCCTCACCTCCATGGCCTCCTGGGCGATGTCGGGCATGCTGGACTGCGGCACCAGCTGCACCAGCCCCGTGATCAGCTCGGCCGTGCTGCCCTGCGAGTCGGGGCCCTGCTTCCTGGGGTTCTGCAGGGAAACACACACAGGCTCAGCTGCAAAGCCCTCCCTGCTTGACCACACTACTGACAGCTCCTGCAGCACTCCTGCTGCTCAACTAGGGGGATTTTGGGATCTTTCAGAGAATCTGTTGTTTTATTTTTAATCCATAACATGCCTTGCATATCATGTCTCTGACTGAACTGGAATATTTTTATATTAAACCATCACAGGACTGAGAAAATGGAAGATCTAAGACAGTACTCATTGAAATGATGACTAATTTCCAACCCCCTTATTTAATTTTCTTCTATTCCCCTCTCCTTCTCCCACCTTCCCCTTCAGAGTCACAGAACTTCATGCTCCCCCTCATTGTGTTGCTCTGATTCTGTAAAGTCTCTTACAGTTCCTTTTTCCTTTAAAACCACAGGAGCATCATAACCAGAGAAAAACATGAGTAGGAAGCATCCTAGATGGCCAGGTGACCATTAATTTTTACTCATTTAGTAGCTTCAAAAGTAAATTCCACTAGGACTGAACAGTATGACAGTAGGATTTACTTACACACAGCAAAAGCTTTGGATCTGCATGGATCAGTTTCACCAAGGACAACAGCAAGAACTTGTAGCTTCTGGTCTCCAAATCAGTAGGTTTTTCTTTAAATTTAAGGCTTGTCATTTTCTCCTTAAATGTAAGGCTCTGATAGAAGGAAAAAAAAAATCACAGTCTTCATCAGGAAAGTAGTCAAACATAACAGTTATAATTAAGCATCTTATGAAATGTATTGCTTTTATCATCTATAATTCAAGAAAAAGTTTAAAAGTATACAAAACTCAATATAGTCACATAGCCTTCAAGTTCAAAATCCCCTCTCTCACAGGCAACCACTACTATATCTTTAAAGTTTCCTTAACAATTGTTTCAGTAAGCTGCATGTGGACATAAGAAATTTTTTTGCAAAAGAGAAACTGTGGCGAAAGAAAAGTAGAAAAAGGACCAAAAAGAATTACTGGTTAATTCTCTGGTCTGAGACAGAAATAAAAATAAATGTTTCCAACTTGTTCTGAGTACATGAGAGGGAATTTTTTCCAAAGGCAAGGTAATGTCTTTATTTTCTGCTACAACCCCAGGCCAGATGTTTGCATGTTCACCTCAACAACCACTGGAAAATAAACCTTGCAGTTCTAAAAGGCACACTGGGCATCACTTAAATATAAAAATAATCTGCCTTCAGGTAAAAAAACAATGAACTACTTCTAAGTTTTGAACAAAAGGAGGAAGCCTAGGTTGAAATCACCTTCAAGGTAACTGATGAGCTATGATATGGTATGATTAACTTCTACAAGAAATGAGGTCTTCATGTTAATTCAATAAATAGTTATTGTGCAAACATATGGAATAAAACCTACCACATAAAGCATCTGATCAAGAAATTGATAGCACAGTGGTAGAGGCAGCTAACTCTGTGCTAAGCCTTAGCCTGCCACAGCTCAGGGATTTCTAGGAGAGGCACGTGGCAAAAGGAGATGTGTTTCTGTGAAGGCATTTAACGCCTCCACACGATCCAAACTAAAGAGTGCCAGTGAGACAGCCAGGCCAGGCTCTGTGCAATGCACCGAGGGACCAACAGCAGCGGGACGCTGACAGACAGCACCAGACAAGGACAGACGTGCAGGAGTTCAGCATCAGCGAGCTCAGGCTGGAAATCAGGAACCAGTTCAACACCAGGGCACGGGGAAGAGCATCGTGCTGGGCACAGAACCAAGAGTGCCCTCCTGGGGGAAGGAGCTCCACTGGCGCTGCCCGGCGGGCTCTGCGGTAACTATGCACAGAAAAGTCAGCGCAAGCCAGGGCTTTTCTGCGGTAGTTACGGGTCATACTTACAGCAGCAGAGGCCCAGGGCCATGCAAAGCAGGGGCTGGCGGGCGTCTGACCACGTGGGAACAGCAGCCAGGCAGAGGGCAAGTGAGAAGCAGAAGACAAAGCACCACCAGTCAGAGCAGGGGTATTGTCAGGGCAACTATTCTCCAACAGATGAATACACACAGGTGAAAAGCAAGTTAAACATGGAGTAGCTTTCAACCAAAAGCATTGTGCTCATTTGCTCTCCTTTGAGAAGCCCAACAGGAATATTTTAGGTCTCATTTTAGGCTCTCTAAACCAACCTACCAAGACCACTTGCCACAGCAGAAGTCCTCAAGGAATGTTCAGAGGAGAATGCAGCAACACAGCTGTGTGTGGACTTAATGGAAGAATTTGGATGAACTACAAATCTGAATTTACTCAAGACTTTCTCCAAGACAGCCAAGAATATTGACTTTATTTCATAATGGTTGCTGCTGTCACCAAGACCAAACAGTCAACTTGCTCAACATAAAGCAAGACAAATGAACATGCCAATCGTGGTAAAAGTATCACAGTTTTCAGCGATTATCTTCACATACAGAATGCTTTGGTTTTTCACATTAAGCAAGGATGGACATGTTAGCTGGCTATTCACAGAGCCAGAAAGCTTAAAATGGACAGTTAGCCACTGGAGACAATTACAGGACAAATACTTGTATGTAGCTAGTTTAACAGCAGCAGGAAAACTGAGAGACATTGAAGTAGGCACAGCCAGTCCCCCAGCGCTGCAGGGCTACAGAGCAGGTGCAGCTCCCTGCATCAGCACGTTGTTCCCCCCTCAGCAGAGGGCTGAGGAGGAGGGCAGGGCTGGGCAGGGGAAGGCAGAGGTGCCCCAGGCTTACCGGGGTCATGCGGATGGCGGGGTGCGCCCCGCAGCCCTGCATGGCGCGGTGCAGCGTGTCGCTGAACATGCTGCGCAGCTCCACGGCGTGGCAGTACACGGCGTCGATCCGCGGCCACCAGTCCAGCGCCGACTGCAAGGCAAGGGCAGCGCTGACCCCGAGCCACAGAACTGGGGCCACCAAGGCTGGGCATACCCAGCCCCGAGCCACGGCTCTGGGCCACCAAGGCTGGGCATACCCAGCCCCGAGCCACGGCACTGGGGCCACCAAGGCTGGGCGCACCTGACCCCGAGCCATGGCTCTGGGGCCACCAAGGCTGGGCATCCCCAGCCCCGAGCCACGGCTCTGGGCCACCGAGGCTGAGCGTACCCGACCCCCAGCCACGGCTCTGGGCCACCGAGGCTGAGTGTACCCAACCCCGAGCCACGGCTCCAGGCCACCAAGGCTGGGCGTACCCAACCCCGAGCCACGGCTCTGGGCCACTGAGGCTGAGTGTACCCAACCCACAGCACGGCTCTGGGCCACCAAGGCTGGGCATACCCAACCCCGAGCCGCGGCTCTGGGCCACCAAGGCTGGGCGTACCCAGCCCCAGCCACGGCTCTGGGCCACTGAGGCTGAGCGTACCCAGCCCCGAGCCACGGCTCTGGGCCACCAAGGCTGGGCATACCCAGCCCCGGGCCACGGCTCTGGGCCACCAAGGCTGGGCATCCCCAGCCCCGAGCCACGGCACTGAGCCACCGAGGCTGAGCGTACCTGACCCCGAGCCACAGCTCTGAGCCACCAAGGCTGGGCGTACCCAGCCCCGAGCCACGGCTCTGGGCCACCGAGGCCGAGCGTACCCGACCCACACCACGTGCTCTCTGTGCACTGCCACCAGTATACCCACCATCACCCTGCATGCCTGTCATCAAACTTGTAACCTTTAAATAGGCTGAAGCAACAATTCTGACCTAGCTGCTCACTGCATTGCTCTGCCTCCTGAACAGGCACCAAGCCTGAGATCTTCTGTGTCACTCTGCTCTTCTACTCTTCTAAGCCTTCTGATGTTTACATTCTTGTAACAAACTTTCATACACACTTTATGTAAATAATTAATTGCTTTGCATTCTTTTCTAGAAAAAAAAAAATAATAGACTCTTAAGTTTATCCAATGTCATTAGAGAGGTGGCACTGTCATCCTCCAATCCACTGTCACTTCTGGAAATCTATAAATGGCGTCAGAAATTAAAGTTCTCTCTTTTTTACCTTGGAGTGTCCACATAGTTTTATTTTGTGTCCTAAAGCGACACTTCTGCACTCAAAAGATTTAGTCTGCTATCCAAATGGTATTTACTAAGCAGATATTGATCTGAACAGAAGCCCCAGACACTGGGCTGATGAAATACTGCCAGAACTTACGTTTGTGATGATTCGGTGGAGTGAATTTACCAGCACATAATGAAATGTTGATGGGGAATTCTGTGCCAAGCAGATCTACAATAAAAATATATAAAAGCCACTTAGGAATATCTTTCTCTTTGCCATTTTCATATCATCCTAAAAAACATTCTGGAGCCTTTTTATTAAATTGACAAAGCTGTCAAATCTGAACAAGAGAAGCCTTAATCAGCTGTGAAAAGATTTATCAAAACATGCAGGGATTTATTACTAAGGGATATTTATACAGCTGAACTCATTTATGAGCTCCAAGATGCTGTTAGCACAGCTTTTATAACTGACAGGTCGTCAATAGTGTGTAGAGAATGACTTACCATAAGCAGTGCTCTTACCTTGAAGTGTTGGTTATTGTGAGGATTTATGCGGAAGCAGGAAACCAAGCAGTCAATCATCAGGTCTACATCTGCATTCTGATTGCCTCTTGAAAAAGGCTTGCTTGGGTTAAACAGCAAATTCTATATAATTCAGAAAAATAGAAATATATAAATCAGATACCACGATTATTCTTAGCTATTTTAAAACAAAATCTTCCATTGAAAACCACTGGTATTCAATTAAGAAATTCAAGGTTAACTTCATTATTTCAAATTTTCTCCACTGCAATTAGGAAACAGACATTCTTACCTTAAGATCTACTACCATGGACTGCACTAGCAGGAAAATGACAGAATTATCTTCCCAGTTGATGTACGTAGATGCTTTGCACAGTTTAACACAAGCAATAGCAGCACTTTCAGTCAGCTGCCTGCTCCCACTGTGTCCTGCCAGGGCCTTCCTGAGATTGTCCAGGAACAGCTTCTGCAGAATTCAAACCAGAGATAGTTATAACCAGACACTGTGATGGCAAAAACCAACTGGATGAAGCACCCCGGAGAAATCCTGTCATTATGAAAGACATTCCCTTTGACAGACCTGGGGCAATGAGAATGGCACAAGAGGTGGTGGTTCACTCTCAGCCCTAAGGCTGCAGCCACACCAAACCCAACAGTGCTGCACCTGTGGGGCTCACAGCCCCCTGCAGACCCCAGAACCTCAGCACAGCCTTTTGCTGTGGGTGGAGGCAGAGGAAATCACTGCACAGAGATTCACATCTCCAAGGAAATGGAGAAGTTCTGAAATAACATTGTTTGGGACATACTATCTGTATGAATTACTGACAGTAAAAGAATGTATGTAAGGTGAGAACTTAAAAAGAGTGCATAAATTTACATATGGAATTGCAATGTGCTCTTGAAGGAGGAAAGACAAAATTAAACATCCCTGAAATACAGAATCAGCAAAACCACGCAGACTCCATAAAACAGAGCCAGAATTCAGCTACTTCTCTTACCTTGTTCATTTTAGTTTCCTCTACCACATCCTTTGCTATATCTTGGATTATCTCTGGACACAGCACCAGGAGGATGATCTGCAGTGGCCACACTGCTGCTTTACGTTTGGTGCTTTCAGCAAAGCCATCCACTAAATCAAACAACTTCTCAGCACAATCTGCATAAAACAGAAGCCCAAGTCCAACACCAGTTTTAACTATGAAGAGGTAAAGAACAGGTATAAAAGAGCAGAGGGATAGTTCCACCTACACAGAAGGAAAGTTCTGGTCTGCACAATACTGACATGCTACTGGGGATCAAATGGTCTCAACCCAGGTAAAGACAAGGTTTACCTGAAAATATAAATTCTCCTCTCTTTTTCACTAGAGACAAGTAAAGGTGACGTTCTCTAAGTTTTTACCCTGTATCAAGATGAAAAATATAAATTTTAAGAGTCTCCATCTTTTGGGGTTTATTTCTTTGTGTTGTGAAGCACAAAATGAATCTCTTTTAAGAGGGGAGTCAGGAAAGAAAACAGACAGGAACATACCCTTGCCTGCCCTGACAAAGGCTGACAGAAATTTGTTTATTTGCAGGCTGCACAAGGAGCACAGAGGGCACAAAATGCAAGTGAATGCATTTGGTGATGTCTGAGAAACCAGCCTTGAACACTGTGATGTGTTATGCCTTACCAGCCATGTCAGTCTGGGGGGTTTGGTACAGCTTGGTGAATTCATCAGGATAGTTTTCCACCCAGTTCCAAAATGCCTGCAGATAATGGGAAACACCTTCACATACCAGAGCTTCAACAATTTTACTGAATTACACATTTAAACAAAGAGAGGTTTTATTCTTAATTCTAATCACTCAAAATTTCTTGCAAAACATATCTGCATCAAAGGGAGGCAGCAATTTTTATTTTATGGTACATTACTGAATAGCAACTATTCCTAAACTAGAAGAAAGTCTACAGATAAGCAATGACGCAGAAGTACTGAACACTTACCTTCTCAAGACTGTTGATAACAGCTAACTGAGCTACTTTCTTAAGAGCTTTAAACTTGAATACAGTCTCTGTAAAGAGAAAACATTTCTGCACTTAGAACAGAAACTTGCTCTAAAAACAACACAGGTTATACAAGAAATTTGAAGCACAAAGCAATTTTCAAATCCATGTTTTGATAGTACTTAACTACTTTTAAATACTTCAGTAAATACATGACTGCTTGGAGTAAAACAGAGCAACAAAACGCAGATCCATCAATTGCACTTTATCATCTCTGACTAACCAGATTAAAATAGAAATATTTCAAAACAGGCTCAGATCATACCTTGCAAGAGTCGCTTGAGTTTTGAACAATCCACACTGATGTACTGTAGAAGTTCAATATCATGAACATCAGCATTATCTTCTGAGCAAACAGTCAGTTCCTGTAATCTAAAAATACACAAAGTAAATAAACTTTTCCATCAGATCCTGTCAGACAGGTATGAACACACCTGTGAGATTATACATTTCAATAGGAGGAGAATGCTCCATCATCTCTAAATCTGGAAGATTAACACTTCCAGATTTAGAAATAAAAGATCTTGCATGATTAAGACTTAATATTACAGTCTTGTGCCATCCTCATCCTCAAAATGGAGCTAGAAAACCAGTGATGATCTTACAAGAGGCCAGCACCTTCTGTGGATTGACTGTGTCCCAGATTTCCTAAATCCTCCTGTTATCCACCCTCCTGTGGCAGTAACCTTGTCATCTTTTCAGCTGAACACTGAAGTCATGGACTCCTGACACCTTTAGGCTACTGCTCCTTCACAGCAGGTCTGGCCCAGGTAAGATCTGAGCACAGCAGGGACTGATGGTACTGGGCATCACTGCAGTGAGCTACAACCACTCTTGCTCCACACTTCCCTGGCCTGAGCACACAGGATGAAGTTTGATCACACCAGTTTAAACGTAAGAACATCTTTTCACAGTGCTGTCTCAGAGAATTTACTCAGCATCTCCCAGACACCGAGCCACTGATCACTACAGCATCTGTTCCCACAAACTGGGACTGCCACGGCTCCTTCCAAGGCTACAGATGTGTTTCAGACACGGAATGTGATTTCTAGTACTAGACACAAAAGCAGTTCTTCATGTCTTCAGCGCCAGGGAAACTTAACAGCCCTCGCTGGGAATGGGAAGGTCCCCACTGCTGTGCTTTTCATGCCAAAAATCCCCCAGCTGCTGTGCAAGGCCCAGAAATATGCCTAAACAGGAAACCCAGGTCAGGGATCAGCAGTGCTGACTGGCAGCAGGCTGACCCCCGTGGAGACCAGCAACAACTGGTCAAACATTTAACTGTTGCTGTACAAGCCATCTGCAGGGAAAACAGGTTAGGGGAAAAGCACTCTGCTCCTGCTCAAGGGATGCTGAGGGGGGCTCTGGAGCAGGGGAACAAACCATGCTACAGGCATACAAACACACACAGACTCAGCCATTCTCAAAACATTTCAACCGAAAAATGCTTCCAATAAAAGGAACAAAAGAAATTGCTTGCATTTCCATAAGCAACAAAACACTATCAACCTATAGAGTAAAATCACATCCCCATGCTAGCTGGCAAGTCTATGTTCTTGAAATAGAAGTTACTAAAGGCTCTGTAACAAATTTGAAAATACTTTAAATTTCAAATTACTCAATCATTTTAGACTGAATTCTAAAACAGAAACATTTTCCAAAGAAATATATGAGGAAAATATAAATCTTTGTTTCAATTAAATTGGCTCAATCATTGCTATGTGACCATGTAAGGCCGCCCAGGCTCCATTTCTAATAAATCAAGAATGATGTCAACTGTAACACTGTGTGACAAGAGCTAAGCTACTTCAAGCACCTTTGAAAAAATATCAAAGAATTTCAGTAAGAAAAAGCTTAGCACACCACTCTAGTGGACTGACAAATGCTGAAGCATCAGAACGATCTGGAACAGAGCAAAAAAAGAAAATAAATGGAAATTTTGGGCCTCTCTCCCTCCTTACTTAGCAAAGCAGAAAATCCAGTTATTTTTACAGTAAATGTGCTGTGAAACTCAAGTCAGTCAGAAGACAAATGGGTCTTTTCCAACAACTAACAAACAGCCCAGCTGTTTGTCCCCTTCAGGCATAAGACAGATTTAACATAAAAGCTTCCTAGCAGGAAAACAACCATGGGGCTCCAGCAGAGCTGTGGGCAATCACCAGTTTTCATTCTAAATTTGTAAGTAAATGGATACAACCATTAGCTTCAGCATTCTTTTTTTTCCCAAGACACCTTGCACCCACAAGAACTTATTCAACTTCTTCTGCTGCATTATCTTCACTCACTATTTTCAGTGGTACTTTTGAAAGCAGATTAAAAAAGCAATAAATGCAGCCAGTGGTAACCCAGGATGGGGTTGAAATGGGTTCATTTCATAACCTGAAACCCGAGTAAACCTTTCACTTTGTCCAGTGAAAGGGTGGGGGCATTTCACTTGAGAATTACCCCATTAAGGAGTATTTAAAGCCTTGGCTGCTCTGAACAGCTGGTGGCAGACAGAGGCTGCAGGCAGCAGTGCAGACACCAGCCCTGCCCTGGGCTGCAGGCAGCAGTGCAGATGCTGTCCCTGCCCAGGGGCTGGCTGCAGGCAGCAGTGCAGATGCTGTCCCCCTGCCCTGGGGCTGGCTGCAGGCAGCAGTGCAGACGGCAGCCCTGCCCAGGGGACTGCAGGCAGCAGTGCAGATGCTGTCCCTGCCCTGGGCTGCAGGCAGCAGTGCAGACACCAGCCCTGCCCGGCCTGCAGCAGCAGTGCAGACACCAGCCCTGCCCAGCCTGCAGCAGCAGTGCAGACACCAGCCCTGCCCAGCCTGCAGCGGTCCGTACCTGGTGGAGATGCGGCTGAAGACGGCGTTGAAGTTGTTGCAGCTGAGCGAGAAGAGCACGCCCGAGGCGGAGCTGCGCAGCTCGGCCGCGTGCTGGTTGCCCTCGCGGTAGGTGTGGATGAAGTGGCAGATCTCGGGCAGCAGCTGCTTCACCAGCATGGTCTCGTCCAGCCGCATGGTGTCCTTGGGTTGCTGCGGAGCAAGGCGCTGCCTGAGCGCTGCTCGGGAGGCAAAGGCTGCAGCGCTGCCCCGAGCAGGGCTGCATGCAGCCTCCCCCTGCACAGACAGGCCCCTTCCCCAGGGAGCCAAACCACCCCACACCTGCAGCCGAGGACACGAGGCTGATCCACCCCAGCGAGCACCAGGCAGAACATCAAACCAGCGGAAGCAGCACGTGCCTTGCTCTGTGCCCTGCTGCTCGCTGTGAGGATCAGGAGCACTGCTACCTCGGCTGCCACTGAGGGCTGAAGGGCAAAGGCCACCCTCACTGCCCCTGGGGTAGGGGCTTGGTGGCCATATTTGACAGTGAATATTTTATATTAAAAATGAACCAAAAAAAGGTGCTTCTCCCTCGCTCTAGCTAGGAATTGCTCTATACAAGTCAAAAAATGGCTTAATTTAATTTCCCTGCAAAAGAAAAATCTCAGTTTTGCCAGTTTGCACAGTGTGAGACATAAGGAAACTATTTACAGAAGAATTCAAAGTGAAACTTTGCTCTACTAAGAGCAAGTTTTAACAGAAGGGTCAGCACTAAAGCTTTCTAAAATTCTACCAATGAGTTTTCCATAGGGAATTGGGAAGTTCAGAGACTCCCACTTAGTTGACCTGAGTCCTGTTGCCATGAGAACTTGATGAAACATTGAGCAAGAAATCCATCTGAAGATACCACAGAACACAACACGCTTTGTACAGAGCTTTGGCTCACACTGATTTAACATACTCTGCCTCAAACTGCTCTCATTTCAAGTGACAGAGCAAGAAACATCCAGCACAATTTTAGGTTATTTAAATATGATGATCTATCAGGAAAATCACTGTTTCAAATGTTATGCATAGTAGAAACATTTAAAATAACTAAATTCTGAAGTTAAAATTCTGGGGTTTTGACTCAAACTGTTCTTTTGACTCAATGCATCCAAGACAAAAAGTACCAAAAAGAGGTGATTTCCTCAGCTGTAAAAGCCGGAAATCGAATACAGCTTAAAAACAAAATCCCGTTCTTGTTAAAAGAATAAACCACTGCAAATCTTGCTCTCAGAGAAGTTTGGCTTTGCAGCTCCAGCTCAGCAGAGTAAGCTGTACAAGCAGCACCACTCTCCTCCCAAAGGGACCAGCAAACTGCCTTGCAGCAGCTCTGACTGCAAACCTCAGGCCTGCACTCCCAGCGGAGATGTGGACATGGTTAACTAATGTAATCTAGGAAACACCTGCAGAAATCATCTCTAGAGCAGTGGCAGCAAAGTTTCTGCTCTATATAAAAGCACATGGAAAATTACTTCAACAAATGAAAGTTTTAAGACATTTAAAGAAAACTCAGCTCTGTATGCAGAGAACTAAGTAGCACAAAATGAAAAACTTGTACTGAATCCTCTGCTACTTTTGACAGGAAAAAAAGACCATTAATTTTAGGCAGTAAAATGCACCCTCCAAATCATTAATGAACCAATTACACCAACTACTTACATTTATAGGAAGTTTTAGTATTTTTAAATGGCATTAATCCTGTTTTGCTCTAAATCTGATGAGTTTTCAGTACCAGTAACAACAGATAGACAAGCATTTGACCTGTATTCTCCAACCCACTGGATTCCAAGTTAGAATTACTTATGCAAGCCTACTCACCCCTGCCAGACATTTTTCCAGTGTATCCAAGATAATCAGCTGAGATAGATATAAATTCTTTTCAGCAGTTTCTCCAAATATTCTCTAGAAGTAGAATGGATTCATCTGAGACACAGATCTTTGACTTGTGATGTAATGAAAGGGAAGCAGCAAAGTGGCACAGTAAATTATGGCTCCATTACTGCTCTGGTTTGGAGTTTAAACATAAAGCCAGCAAAAGTCAGATTAAAATCGGAATTAAAACCTTATCACTAAAGAAATATCTTTGTCCAGTTTGCAATGCCAAATGCAGTAAGGAACCAACAGCCCCTGCAAGGTAAGAGTGGAGGGGCCCTGCAGCCCTCACCTCCATCAGGCCCACTGGCTGCTCAGGAGTGTGGCTTCCACCTTTCAGAACCTGTTTTGTATCAGTCAGTGCTGACTCTGCAGTTCTGGACAGGGTGCCCCACTGCAGACACAGGCAGGATTCCCTGGGGTGCTCCAGCCAGCACCAGTCCTGTGCCAGGAACAGGCACTGCCTCCAGCAGCATTAAAACAGCAAATACAGCAGGAAAGCCTCAGCCAAAGCACATGGGTACCAGTGCCCACAGACAGAGCACCTGTCAGAGCCACCCAGAGAAGTGTGCCTCAGCCCAGGGCAGGGGTGGCTCACCCCACCCCAGCTTCCAGCTGGGACTCTGTCTGAGCCAAGACTGCTGTGACTGAGTGTCTCTGGGGCCGCTCTGTCCCAGCTACAGAAACCCTCCCCAGGTACTGCTGATTGCCACAGCAGCTCACACCACCACACACAGCAAACATTCAGACCTGCTCCTCAGGGCAAACTTTTTAATTGGCACTTCCAGCGAGGTCTTTCCTCTCAAAATCTGTGTATCACATAGAGAAACTTCTTTAAACTGTACAGTTTTCTCATTTATCAGCCAATCACCTTGCACATCAACATGTTCCCTCATGCCTGTAGAGTTTAATTAAAATAAATTCTCTCTCCAAAGGGATTACAGGTAGCTTTAAGCAGCCTAAAATCCCTAGCAGCAGGGCAACCCATTTTCTCATTTTATCAGTCCTCTGCAGTTCCAGCAGATGCACATCCCTGTACAACTGACAGCCAAGGGCTCACTCCAAAGAATGTGTCCAAAACCATAAAAAAAGTACTGCCAGAGCCTGGCCAGTTCTGTTACCTGTTTGGGGAGATTCCAAATGATCCCAAATGACATGGATTCAAAACTCAATGAAGTCAATGAACTAAACTTTTCTCATGCAAAGGTTCTGTCTGCAACTCATCTGGTTGTTAAAAAATACATCTATTTTATATATACACAGACACAGTAAAACACCCAGGCAGCCTGGAAAATTAAAATAATTCAAGTTTTAAATCCCTTCCCTGCCCCAAAATCCCAATGCCTTTCTGTGGAACATGGCTCTGATGGATGCTGCTGGTGAACTTCAGAACAGAAAATAAGTAAGTGTAAAAGGCAAGCAATAATCTGACTAAATTTCAAGTCATTCTCTGCAGATGTTACAATAATAACTATTTGAAAAAAAAATCACCAAACACTGCAAAATTAGAAAACTTACCATGTTATTAACATTTTTTAATATATTGGTGAGACCACTGATGACCAGGGAAAACTTGTACTTGGAAATGTTGATGAGACACTCCTTGTTGTGCTCCGTGCTGACTTTGGTGTGGGTATTCTGCTGGCAAGCCTTTATTGGAAGCTACAAGAGAGAACTGTCATAAGCTTTTTCACACTGAAACTTACAGCTTTAAAGATGGGTTAAAAACTTGTGACACACGAGAAACCACCTTGAAAAACATTCAACAAGAGACAAAAGCAAACGCACTATTTCATCTTCTCTACATTCATCTTTCCATTAGTTATCTATAAACCAAAATGCTTAAGCTCACCTGTTCATTTTTCTGAACTGAAACTAAACCTCTATTTTGTGATAAATTTTCTACAACCTGGATGTCAAAGCAATCAAAAGGAGCAGAAAAATGTAAGACAGAATTACAAGAAAAGATTCTTTATTTTAAAAAAGGGCTTAATTCTTCCAAGGCTAATACCTGCAAGGAAAAAATGCATCTTGGGACCTGAGGGGAGGAAAACCCCAGCAGCTCCCAGAGCAGGTGAGCTGGAAGGCAGCAGCTGCTCCGTGTGTGTCCCCTGCTCTGTCACAGGGTCCCCACAAACAGCCCAGTGATGAATCTCAGCCTCCAACACGCCTGGAGCACCTGTCCCACACGTTACCTGTCCTGCCCAACAGCCAGTGGTAAAAACTAGACCTGAAATCCACATTTCCCAGAAAGAGAAGACTCAGAGCGACTGCACTGCCCGAGATGTTCCTGCTGCCTGTGAACACTGGGTGCTTTGTTCCCTGCTGTACCCAAATTCTTCAGGGGTCACAAACAAGTCACTTCCCAGGCACACACCCACTCCCCCTGCCTGCTCCCAGCCGCCACCTCTGGGACACCACTCTTCAGAAACAATCCTTTTAATCAGGATTTATACTTTTTAAAAGCAAACTAATATAGGAACATTTATGCCATTTGTATTTGAAAGTGTGACCTGGGAATTCCCTATCCATAGGAGCTTGAATTGCTACTAAAAGTTTTAACCAATTTTGACCAGAACTGTGGATAAAGGTGTGTTCTGGAAGACAGCAATAGCTCAATGGAAATGCCATGGTGTAATATTTGTGCATTAGAAAAGATTATCAGAGAGAGAGAGAACTTAAGAGAGGGTAAAAGAAGGATTGCAAGGAATTACAATCAGCTTTACAGCTGCAAAGTGCCTTAGGAGGCACCTCGCAGGCCGGGGGCTCTGGAAGGGCACCCTCCCCCCTGCCCCCACCTGCCAGCACCTCCTGCTGGGCAAAGTGAATCCCAGATCTAAAACCAGGATGGATGGCATGGGAGAACCCCAGCCTGGGGCACTTTTGTCCAACAGTGCTGAATGCAGTGTGCCTGGCCCAGCCTGTCCCCAGGCAGGGAAGAGGGCACTGCCACTGTCCTGCTCTGATGCCAGGGGGTGACTCCCTCTGTGTATAAGCTGAGCTTTGGTGTGGGCTCAAGCTCAGTTCTTTTGGTACCATGGACTAGATCCCTACGGACATGGGCTGGGTCTTCCCTAAGAGAATGGCTGACTGTCAATGAGAAGAAGATGGTCCTGGCACTCCAGATCAGAGCAAAGGCCCCGGGGCAGCAGCCACAGGTCCCTGAGGAGCAGCAGACCCAGTCAGGCTCCATCAGCTGCAGCACCTCCAGGACAAGGGCTGAGACTCTGCCTGCACAGACACCCACAGCAACCCCGGGGCAGGCAGCTCAGCCCCACTGCCGTCTGTGACTCCTGGCAGTCTGGGCTGCAGGGCTTCACTGCAGCACGAGTGCTCCAGTGTGCTCTTCTACCCCTGGAAAAGCAGAATAAACAGCATTTATGACTCAAGCTTTGTTTTCACTGTCAGAAGTTATTTCTACAATACATTTTTGGAAGTCATCGGAGGATGATAGATACATTTAATTTAAAATTTCACTATTGCTAGTACTTTTTATTTGAATTTTCAAGTCTCTGTGCTGACAGCAGCAGCAAAGCTCAATACCACTGAGTGCTAAAACACTTGAGAAGAGCCTCTCAAAGAAACTGTGTCATAGATCTGGTTCTGTGTGCTCCCATGCCAGGGAAACATCACATTACACACTTCTGGAGCTTCCTGCCACAACAGCCACTAGAACAAGGTCACCTAGAAGTAAAACTGCTTTTTATACTATCATTTAAAAAAGGAAACTATACAAAAAGGAAATATTAGCACTGTTATTTTGGGGGTTTTTATTTCTCAGCTCTTTTCTTTCTGCACTCTGACACACTGGAACATTTTATTTCCCCTCACAGAATGCAGTGCTGGTGCTGAGTGACTAAAGAATCTACTTTACTTCTCTACAAATATCCATTAATCTACACATTGGGGTGGGGGAAAGCTGAAATTTCATTTTCATTGACTTTGATTTTATTTTACAAAAAAGAAATACTGATCAATGGTTTCCTGTAGAGCTATTTGAACTAGAAACAGAAATTAGAGCACAAAGCTTAAATGTACCTGGGCCTTCAGCTCCTGAACACGAGCCCTGCTCTGAGCTCAGCCCAGAGCAGCAAGGGACAGTCACTGGCCCAGCCCAGCTCCTGTCACGGCTGGCACAGGAGCAGCAGGGCTGCAGCTGCACTGGGCACGCTCTGCCCACACCCAGCTGGGCTCCACACACCTCCTCGGCCCAGCGCAGCCTCAGGCTCCTTCAGGGCTCAAACAAGCCACAGAGCACAGGGAGCAGTGGCACTTGGCTCTAAATTTTGCCTTATTTCATGCAGTGGACAAAGACAAAATAGGCAGATGAAAATGGGAACCTTCACAGCTACCAAATTGTAAATGTTTGAAATTGAGAAAGAAAAAATATATTTACTGTGTTTGGGATTTTTTTCACTTTTAGCCAAAAATGTTCAATTTAAGGAATCCTGCCTTGGTCATAGATACTAATTTTTTAGAAAAAAAATGGGTGTTTTTCATGCCTGTGAAGTGATTAGCAATACCTATTCCAGGTATTCTCTAGTCTGATGCAAGAAGGTCCAAACTTTTGTTATATGAGCATGGACATTGGTTTGGAGCTACAACCACAGACAGGCCTGAGGGTCTGTAAGTTGTGCACTCAGGCTGTTGAGAAAAGCTGCACTGAGCCATGGATTTTGCTTTATCACTTGTAATTAATGAACACAAAGTTAAATCAACTCTACTTAGTTGGTACGTAATAGTCTGGAGAAACACACAACATCTAGGAAAAAATCCCTACTGCTATCCTTAACAGACCCAAAATCCATCCCAGTTCACCCTTCCAAACAATTCCTTGGAACTTTTCAGCAGACTGTGACACAGACATACTGGTGACAGAAAATCCCCACAGCACCACCCCTGCTCAGCATCAGCCCTGCCAGAACCAGACACAAACCCCTCTAAATCAACAGGCACCTTCCTCCCCTCTGTCAACACACCCCTGCTAGAGGCACTATCCCTGCAAAGAGCCTCACAGCCCAGCCTTCCCAAGTTTCAAAACTTTCAGAAGTTTTTATATAGGGTGCTCTAAAAACAAAGCACTGTCAGAAGGTGAAGTGAAGTTGGTGCTGTGACCAGCAGTGTATTTACCCATCCTGCCAACACAAACACTGTCAGGTGAGGATGGGCCGTGTCCACCTGGACACCTTCAGCAGCTCCTCGCTGCAGCCAGGTAACAGCACCTGTGGCCCAGGGCATTTCCTTCCCTGTGCCTGGGCTCCAGCCCCGTGCAGAGCAGCCCCTCAGCTGCAAAGAGCCAGCACACAAAGCCACTGCAGCCCTGCTCCGGGGAAGATGGAACAGCCTCGAGCTGCAGGCAGGGCTCCAGCCGGCTCAGCCCCAGCCCCTGGGGCACTCTGCCCCACACACAGAGCTGGGCACAGGAGCTGCACCTTCTGCCCAGCCCAGGTACACCCCTGGGGGCACAGCACACCTCACAGTACATCCCTGCTACCAGGGATTTCCTAACAAGCCAAAGAAAACCAGAGCTGGTACCTGCAACCACTGCTTTTGCAGGCCTCTGATTCTGCACACATTTCAAACACTGGAGAAAAATCAACAGCAGGAGGGAATACTTGCTTTAATTTAATACCTTTTAATTAGAGGAAGAATGGAACATTACTACTGACTTCCATTTTTTATGCACTTTCTTAACTGAGAGCCATCACACCTCATGAACTGCAAATGGGAAGCCTAAACCAAAAAACCCATAACAAAACCAAAACCCACATAACAAAAATCTTCTTTGTTTAAAGCATCTCAGAATCACAGAACCACGGGATCATTAATGTTGGAAGAGGCCTCTGAGACTGCTGAGTCCAACCTGTGACTGATCCCCACCTCGTCACAGCACAGAGCACTGAGTGCCACATCCAGTCATTCCTTGAACACTTCAGGGATGGGCACTCCACCACAATAACCGCTTACATGGCCACAAGTTTATAAAGGATTAATAGTTCTTATTACATCTGATAGTTTTAAATCAATCTAGATATAAAGGGCTTGGACAGTCAGACTCCTCCAACTATGCTCACAACTACTCCAGTGCAGTGCCAGCCTTCCTGTGAGTTCACATTGCAACACACTTAAAGCACTATGAAAACACAAAACATAAAACTGGAAGTATTTCCACAGGAAAGACAGAGAGAATTTTATCTTCCAAAGCTCTATGTCTGAAATCACAGGGAATTCCATGAATTTCCAGGCTCTTTGTGCTACTGCAGTCTAACCCAAGTTTTGAAAAATGCAATAACAAGCACTAAGTGCAGGCCCTGCTGAGGGGTCTCCCCACGCTCTCTGTCAGTGTGCTCTGGTCCCACAGGTCCCTGCAGCAGCTGGAGCCTGGGGGCAGCCCCGTCCAGCCCTGCAGCAGGTGAGGACTGCCAGGAGCTGCAGGGTTCATTCCCTGAGCCAGGCACTGCTTAATTCACAAAACTCTGCCTGCCAGTCACTCCAGGCCCACAGAATTGTACACAAAAGCAGATTTTGGTTAAAGCAGCATTTATGACAATAAACAAGAGCAGACCAGAGCAGACTGGTTTGCCCTGATTTCCCTTGTTTTCAATACCGATTAGCATCCTCTCAGCTTGCTGCTTCATCTTTCCTAAAATGAATTCAAGCAC